AGTCGAGCACCGATGAGGATCACACTTATGTGATGTGTTAGTTTATGTGTTAATTGGTGCTTTAACAAAAGTGAAAGGAAACTGAAAGTCTATTTTAGAGTTATAGCGCCCCCTGGAGAGACTGCCATCAAATTAACTCCACTTTTCGATGTTTCTCAGGTCTCAGATATTCTGTTTGATCTTTTATTCGGCCTTCAGAAACATTTAATCAATCCTCCTCTGATTTCTAACCTCTGATTGGACAAAGCAGCCTTTGTTTACCATTTGATTGGACGTGTCTGCTGGTTGCAAGTCCTCCGCTGGCTTCACCTCCTCCGCTGGCTTCACCTCCTCCGCTGGCTGCACCACCTCCGCTGGCTGCACCTCCCCCGCTGGCTGCACCTCCCCCGCTGGCTGCACCTCCCCCGCTGGCTGCACCTCCACGGCCTTCTCCTGCTGAAGCTCCTCAGGTTTCTGCAGATTTAGACAAAGGTTCTGTTGGGATGGATCCACTCCCTCCTCCATCACCGTATCCAAGGTAACCCTGAGCTGAACTCTAACCCTCCCCTGATGATGAATGTTTAATGAAGGAGGAGGGGGTGGAGGGTTGGGTGGGGGTGGGGGTTAGGTGTGGGGGCTCTGACTGGGCTGGTTCCGGTCAGAACCAGAATGTCCACCACTTGGATCGCCCTCCAGACCAAACCCAGGACCTCCAACTGCCTCCTGCTGTTGGTGCGCAGCGTCACCTGCAGGTGGAGGCCGGTACTGTCTCTGCTGAAGGAGGACGAGCGAGACAGCGTTCCTCTCCTCTTCTCTCGGAGCGATGAAGCCTCCTGGTTCCTCCTCATCCTCTCCAGCTGCTCCTCCACACTCATCCTGGTTCTGATGAATTCTCGCTCTCCCGTCTGATCCGCTGTGCTCCTGGGCCGGTCCTGAGGAGGAGCAGACTCGGAGTTCTACCCTCTGCAACAACACCCTAAAACGACCTCAGAGACGTTCTCAGCTGGAGGAAAACTCACACTTCTGGACTCCGGTTTTCTGGTCTTCCTTAGGGTGACGTAGGAGGCGATGGTGGCAGACTCAGGAGTGCTGAGGGGGGATTTGGTCCTGGGAGCGACGATGCCCACAGGGTAGGGGGGCGCTGTGGAGAAAAGGTTCATTTGATCAGTGAGGCTGAGCTGCAAGGCAAAGGGAGAATCAACTGCTACGAAAGGCAGCGGAAAACAGGCCACATATCTAGAAACTCTGCAGAGAATAAATGGATGAGGTTTCCACGGTAACTCCTCTTCCTCCTCTTCCTCATCTCCAGTCACTTCAGAAGGAGGAAAACGAGGAGCTTCTAACAGTCTTAGAGCGTTTTATGGAGTAACCTCCGGCCAGCAGCTGATTAAAGCCAGCTGCTGGTCGGAGGCTGCCGGCGGTCAAACCTCCACCTGAGCTCCGCTGAAGGACGCCCGTCCCAGAGGGACAGACAGGCAGCTGTAGCGCCCCCTACTGGTGCTGCAGCATCAGGACGTCACCTTCAGCCGACCATCAGGGTCCTCAGAGAGCTACTATTATTGGTTTAGCGTAGCTGATAAACTAGCTGGTCTGTGGCTGTGGTATTCATGGAGCGGGCGGGTGTGGGTGGGCCCGGTCCAGTCGGAACCAGAATGGCCAACACTTGGATCGCCACCAAGCAAGTGGATGTGGAAGGATGAGGGAAGCGGACTCGGTGATAGCCTGCGTGAAGCTGAGCTGGGTGTTAGGCTGTGGTCACCATGGCGATCAGCCTTAGGAGGCAGGAGCACGGTGTGGGACGGGGGGGACGGGCCTCTAACCCACATAGAGAGACATCTTTGTGAAGGTGCTCCCTCACATGCTCTCTGCTCCACTACCTGGTTTCTGGAAGTCACAGGTTTTTACCTTAGATTCCACCATTACTGCTCCACCCCCCGTCAGTCACCAACCCCATCTAGTGCACCCTCTCTACCCCCCGCTGGGTCACACCGGTGAGGATCTCCCTATCCGGACGATGAAGCTGCTTCCCTGACAGGAAGTCTGACTAAGACCACCGAGCTGCAGTCCTTCCCCCTACATCTCATTTTAACGCCTTCTAGATGAGGGGATGATGTGCAATGACAACATTAACCTCCTAGAATAACAGCATCAGTTAATTTAGCTTCCTGGTTCTGTCCTCTAGCAGCCAGACTAGACCCCGGGCCCCATCTGAAGGTTCCTGGCAGATCAAAGACATTTCACATTCAACATCAGGATTAGATCTAAACACCCGTTTCACTGCTGAGAATCAAAGAATAGGCATATACCTTTGGGGGCTGAGGTGTCTCTACGCTCCGCAGACGTCTCGGTCTTATCCTTGTCCTCGCTGTTGGCCTCGTCTCCTTCTTCATTCACAGTTGTTAGCTCAGGCTCGCTCTTATACAGCCGGTAGTCTGGAGCTTGCTGTTAGCAGGATGAAAGGATCCATGGTTACAATCAATACCCCAGAACTTCTTTATGCATAAGGGAGAGGATTCCCTTAACCCTTACCTCACCTAAATAAGCTGAATGGAATAATGATAGTGCATCGATCAGCACATCAAAAACCACCTTGGAAATAATATGCTGATGAAGTGGAGATGCAGAATGGAAATATCAGCTCAGATTAACATCCTCATCTATATATATAT